CTTGGATAAGTCACATCAGCCTCTCTGAAAATGTTTCCTCACCTGTAAATGGGGATGGTGACCCATTCACTTGTACAGCGTTTTGAGAGTCTTGATTAAGAACTACTCTAAAAGAGCTAAGTATTATTATTCTAAATTAGGAATGATAGAGCTGTGCAGCTTTCTTTTGATGATCTCTTCCTTCCCTTGTTCAAGATTTACCAGAGCTACAGTGGAAGATCAATTGCTACTGCAATAAATAAGACCCATGAGATGTTGACACAATTGGAGCCACAGAAAGCCTCTACAGCAACTAAATTAGTGATAGAGGAGAATGTTACCTTATTTTAATATTGTTTATTTATAGCACCTACTTTAATTATGTTTTTAATGTTTTAAACCGGCCTTCTAAACACAGGACTTCCCATTTCAGTACAATTATATTGTTAATCCAATACAGCTCTCGTAAATCCTGCCTGTAATTGCTGTAATAACCTGTTCCCGTTATTGCTACAGTATGTCCTCATTTATATTCAGTGGCTGTGCTTCATGCACAGCCACTTCGCTTTGCTCTGTGTCCCCCTGAAAAGACTCTGGCTCTTGCTTGGACTCTTTGTACGTTCTCGCAACCAGGGATTCTTTACCAGCGTGACTCCAGTGACCTTGCTGTGGTCACTCAATTGTGCCAAGTGTCTATTTCTTGTGAAGCTAGTCCAAACAAATTGAGTGGGGTGAGACTTCTCCTTCTCCCTATTGTGTCTGACCTGAACAAGCTGGGATATATAATACATCCCTTGGGATTTGGAAAGCAGAAGTAGGCACTGCAAAGAACATTTAAAGGATTGGCTGGTGCTGTCATGTGACCGATGCTAGGCAACATGTGCTATTGGCCTTCTTGGTTGCCGACAGATCAGAAGGAACATCAGTTTGTGTGTGTTTGTGCAAATGAGGCTGTGCTTTCACAGCAGTCTGGGGGAGCTTCAGCACTTCTACTGAGGTAAGCAATAATGATGCCTCTTTATTCTAGTAAATTAGCTGCGTGGAATGGATGCAGCAGGATTTTCTGGTGCACAAGCATAGAGTAAATTAGAGGAAGGGCTCCTCTCTTAAATTCTGTATTTTGATTTCTTTAGATATTTTTAAATTCTAAATTAAATGTGATGCATGGTGATAAGTGTCCCAATATGTCTACCAATTTTAGTTGGCAATTAAAGATCATTTCATTCTATTTTAAATGCAGTTTTAAATCTTGAGAGTATTAAATGATGTATTAGCAAGCAGTTGCACAGACAGGCATGCACTGAAAAGAGTACCTAGATAAATTCCTGTCTTTATGAAAGGACGGAGAGGGAGAGGAAGGGTGATATTAATACCTATCTTTGCATGAAAAGCATCAGGTCCTTTTTACAAAGCAGGCTTTTTTATACAAAACCTGTAAAATGCTTGTCAAGACCAGTCATTGATACATGTTCTGAGATGCATGTTGGCAATATTAAACCAAATATGCAAGACTGTAGCTCAATATCCTAATGAATCTGGAGTGTATGGCTTGTAAATTGTATTTAAAGTCAAACAGTGACTGAAAAGCAGCTGCCTGTTAAAAATTGATCTTGAATTGTAAGCTGTTAAAAAGCCCAGTGTAATCCTGTGGTAGGCACATCTTAGCCAACTGCTGCTATAGAAATAGATTTTGTTGATTTCCTCTCAATCTGTAATAAATCGCTGTCCATAGAAAATATTTTAATATTGCCCTGAAAGTTTATATCAAAGATAATTAAAGCCACTGTGGAAAAGAATTAAAGCTACAAAGGATTAAACTGACTGCACCACAAAAAATGAAAAGGAACTAGACTGTACTATGAATAAATGGCTGTGCAGCAAAACTATAGAATCTGTAATCAAACTGAGAAGACCCTCCTTCTGCAAGTACAGAGAGCATTCAAGGTATGCAGCCTATATGGCTATAGTAGCATGTCCATAGAAGCTGCTGTGAAAGAGAAGCCAATGCCTAAACTAAGTAGGATCAGTCTCTTTAAATCGTATAGCTCTCCCAGGAAGTAAATCAGCAGTGAGAATGTGTTTTTTGATGAATGAGGCTGTCATCTTTCAGCTGCTGCTGATTTTTTTTTTAATCCAAAAGACCAGAGGAAACAGGAATGTTCAAAAGACTGAACTACCCCTCCTCCTCCAACCAAATCACACCCACTAAAATTCCTCTATTGTGTTAATTCTGGGAACCAAATGCTATTGCACAGACCAAAAAAGTTCTGTTTTCCATTTGCTGAACCATTTAGCTAGCAGCAGTTAAATTTAACAACTTTATACAAGAACCGCAATACTATACGCTTCCTGGATCTGAAAGGGTTGTGTTTGCTGGACTTTAACACTGAACAGTCAGAATTAAAACTAGGCATGCAAACATTGAGAATGTGTCCTACTCCGCTGTCTTCCCCAGGGGCATATTCTGATCTGCTTTGTTTATAAAGCTATTTAGTGCTATAGCTTCCTATTATTACGTTATTTTTGGTGCTCTGGCAATAAGCTAATTATTGTAAGCTTAATGTTAGCTGTTCTAATTTTCAGGGATTTTGAACTAAACTTGCAATGTGGAGTGCTAACAATTCCTTAGAAAGCTATTTGCTATTTTTCAATATTGAAAAACTGGGGAAATACCTATAGTCTTGTTAAGAAGTATGGAATTTAGTCTGCAGTTTATAAACTGATCTTCTGCATATTCGTTCCAGATGGAATAGGTTGAACTTTTACTCTTCTTTTAAAAAGTAATAGAACAGGAACTATAAACCATGATAACTGCTTGATGCATTAATAAATAAAGTTAAAGATCTTACGGTTTTCTCATATACAAGTAAAAATTGACATGCAAATATTATACAAAAATAGCAGTGAAATACTTACACTGAAGATTTGTTTGTGGAGACATTTTGACACCCAGGCTATGTCTAGACTGCAAGCCTCTTTCGAAAGAGGCTCTTTCGAAAGATACTTTCGAAAGAGAGCGTCTAGACTGCATGCGGAACTTTCGAAAAAGCAAGCCGCTTTTTCGAAAGAAAGCAACCAGTGAGTCTGGATGCTCTCTTTCGAAGAAGCCCTATTTACATTCAAGAACGCCTTCTTTCGAAAGAGCACTTTCGAAAGAAGGCGTTCTTCCTCGTGCAATGAGGTTTACCGCCGTCGAAAGAAAAGCCGCATTCTTTCGATTTAATTTCGAAAGAACGTGGCTGCAGTCTAGACGCAGGTGAAGTTTTTTCGGAAAAAGGCTACTTTTCCCGAAAAAACCCCTGAGTCTGGACACAGCCCCAGTGTTTTGCAGAGTTTTGAAAACACTGGATTGCCTCATCCCTTCTGCCCTGGACACAGGGAGGAAGTAATACTAAATGGCTCTGGTATAGCATCTACATTGCAACTTTCCCCTGGAGGTTTTCCCAGGGAGGCTGTGACAGGGTGTATTAGGTCCAGATACCTCCTGCTGGAGACCCTATGGTCCTATCAGACCCTGTCCCAAAAAGGAGCAATGGAGGAGTCCCAGAGGTTGCTTGATGTGGCTGCTGGGGAAGCAGCAAATGAGAGGGGCTGCAGCGAGTCAGGGCTGAGGAGGATCATATAAAAGGAGCTACAGAGGTAGTGTTGGGCAGTTGCTACCTGGAGCTGGAGGAGTGAGAAGTTTGTTTCTGAATGGCTGAAGGAGCAACAGGATCATGGACAGATCAGTTGCTGGCAGGAGCTAAAGGTGTAAGACAGAGCTCCTGGATGGCAGCTGGAATCATGTAAGGAGTGAGTTCAGGGAGGACTGCAGGGAAACAGTGTCTCCAGGGAGGAAATCTTAGGTGTATGCCCCCCCTACCAATGTGACTATTGAAAGATTGAGCCTGAGGAGGTCTAAACAGATACTAACACAGGAGTACTGAGAGAGGTCCCTTTTGGACTATATATCCCAAAAGGGGTCTGGGTCTGTTCTGTTTCACATACAGACTGTATATGTGACTTGGCCACAGGGCTGGGTCACTGAAAACCCACCTGAGAAACCAGCAACAAGGGACACCACAAACAGAGAGACTGCAGGTACACATACTCAACTAGGTGGCACTTAAAAGGGGGGGTGTCACACAGTTGAAGAGGTAGTTTTAAATTGAAGCATCAAAAGCAGATGGTACCTGGCAACTGTGCTGAGATCGGTTTGCATCTGTGATGTCCTAGCCTTGCCCCTTCTCTCTCTATAGTTGCCCGAATTTGCGATTTCGGTGGTGATAAGAGGGTCCCCTTGAAGAAGAGAGATTGTTAGACATATGCACTGCAATCTTGCCTCCATGTGGACATTCTGCTGGGCCTCTAGGTTACACCAAGCCAGCATAATTTAGGAAGGAATCTAGCCCCATGCAAATAAACAAATTCTCCTTTCAGATCTTGCTTATACTAGAGTTTTTGGTGCTGCCACAACTTAAGCTAATCAGTTGCCAGTAACTCACTTTTATGTGGCTGTAAATTCTAGCATAGGTCTGGCCCACGAAAGCTCATCATCTAATAAACCATCCTGTTAGTCTTTAAAGTGCTACATTGTCCTGAATTTTGCTTCCAAAAAGTGTGTTCCTGATAATGGTTCCTAGGTTTGTGTGCACTACAGTTCTTTATGTTGCTTGTTCCAAAGCACAAGTGTTTGTGGAGTGTCCAAATGGACATATACAAATGTGTTAGGTTACTAGAGTTAATTGCCAACTAGTTATCTTGAGTTTAAAATCTCTGGAGTAGACATACCTCCTCAGACTTAAACCAGGTTGAATCACAGCTGAAAATAAAATGTGTGTCCTGGAACAAGCATTTGTGATCTGGCTATGTAAGAGTTTACTGTCTTATTAGTGAACTTGAGTTAATTGCAGTCAGTTTGATCAAGTTACAATCAGATCAAAAACTCTGGTAAGATATATGCTGAATCACTGGGGTTGCACTGGAGTAAAGTTAATGTAGCTGCACTCCTGTAGCTTTGAGGATTTGTCTCAAGACATTTAATGGCCACAGTGGTAGATAGGGTAGGGAAAATTATTTTCTGACTGAAACCAACAAAAGAGATAACATGGTTAAGGCTCCTGTTTTATCCAGAACTAAAATGGGTATCTGCTCTAGGTGGCTATTTTAGACACTTCCGTACAGGGCCTTATTCTTCTCTTGGAATCAGCTTGCACCATACAATAAAGAAAATAGTTTGTGCACTAGGACACACATATGCCATGGCTAATTTCCTTGAGCTTATCCCGGGTAACGAGCACTGTGAGTTTGAGACTGAAATGTGATCAATTGTTTGCAATGCTGCCGATCCACCTCATTCAATAAAAGTAAAAAGATTGTGCCGTGTGTGTGAGGCTGTAAAGGTGGTGGGGGGTGAAGAGCTGCCAGGCTTGTCCCACTGTCAGCCAGGGCAAGGTTCCTCATAGTAGATTGAGGCAGTGCACTCTGGGATCCCTTAGACTGTGCTCTGACTGGAAAAGGTGTTTCTGCTGCTGCTAGATTGTGCTTGTTGCTGACCACAGTAGATATGCTAGCTAACTGAAGTTCTGGCCATGACCATTCAGAGTATTGAGAGCATTCCCTTAGAGATGTGGTGTACGAGCCAACACAGTTATTGGCCCTTTTTGCCCTGATCTCTTGAGCACCATGGAGAGGTCCTGGATTTTGCTGATTTTGGGGAGGAAGAGTTTTCCTTTCTTCCAGAAAGCAGAATTTCATTCACAGAGTGCTGCAATGCCTCAGAAGTTTTGCCAGCTAAAGTTGCTGTGGGGACCTCTTTTCAGATGTATGGACTGAAGGAAGAGACAGACAACATGATGCCACAAGGGGGGTATGCAGCAGGAGTATGCAGCTGTTAACAGCTGTGACCACTGGAGCTCCTGCTTCTAAAGGAGACTCAAGAGGTATAGCCAGACCTCTTATTTGGTAGCCTTTTTAACCATTTGGTTTAATCTTCAGTTGCCAGTGTTTCATTAAGAC